TATGCGGCCGGAAGCACGCTGGAAGGTGGAGGAAGCTGCTGTGCATCAGCTGAGTGACTTAAGACTGTCATTCATCACATCAATTTGGAATACATCATCCTGATGCAATTGGACATGATACAATTCCCCACTCTCAACTATGTGGTGGAAATTTGCACCTTGCTTTTTGAAGGTGATAGTAAACTATTTATGAGTGTGAATATAAAGATACCATTGTAATGACCACATCAAGAAGGAACAGTGCACAAGCGAGCTTGCTTCCTGGCTGCTGTCCTTTGTTTCCAATTCATCCTTCAAGGACCTCTCAACCTCTCAGGAAAGTTTATCCTGCTGAAAAAAAATGCACTGCTTCATACGAACGGTACCCAATGCGCTTGGACCGGACCGGACCAGACCGGGAATTTAGACGTGAGGACTGGACCGGACCGACCGGACCGAACCGGACCGGACCGGACTGTAGAGGGCAGCAGCCAGCACAGCACCGGGCCGCGCTACATTGGACCGGAGGCGAACAGCCCAGGCGGGAGGGGACCAGAGCGGAGACAAAAACACACAGGACAGGAATGAATTAGACAAGGCCAGGAACGATTGGACAGCATCTGGCTGGACCAGACCGAGACCAGTCTGGACAAGATTGGATTGGGCTGGACCAGACTCGACTGAGACAGATAAGAGAGACAAAGCAAGACCCAATCGGCCCAGTCTTCTCCAGGCAATTGACCGGTCGGGCCGTTCTGATCCTGTGCTGTCTGGTGTGGTGCGGTTAGGTCCGATTTGCTCGGGTCGGGTTGGGTCGGTACGGGTCGGATCGGGTCAGGTCGGGTTGGGTCGGGACCGGTTCGGTGCGCCGGACCTAGGCGGCCCGGCTAAACCCTATCCGGTTCGGTTCGGCCTCTTTAATCTTTCCAATGGCATGATCCCTCCTCCTATCCTACGCGCTGCTATATTGAACCGTCCTACCCCGGCCAGTGGCCAGACTGCTTCTCTAGCGCCTACAACAGATTCTATCCCTCACTGTCCGCGTTTCGACAAAAAGTTATCGATTTACCAAAAATTATCCAATTGACGAGTTGGTATCATTGTAACAGCACCCTAACTAGATAGTGTAACTGGCGCAACTTCGACGTTAGCACTCCCAAGCCAGAAGACTATACACCAAGTTTGTGAGGTTTATACCGGCGTTGCTGATATAAAAAGGTACCCGTATTGCATGAGAATGCATTTATCGAAAGGAAGATTAGAATTGATAGTAGTTATGATGTTTGTTTTTTATGGGGGCATGTTTTTTTCTAAATCTTGACATCTATATTTCCGTTCTTTTAGTTTTCACGAGAAATAAGGCTATGGCTATCCTGTTATCTGTGTGGATTTGTCTTTATTAATCAAAAGTTGTGATTTTTTCTTGCCAGAGTTTAAACCATGCAATCATGTGCACATTATGTGATAACCTGTGACAAGGGATATCCAAAAGGGGTCAATTATGCATACAAGTCATACCTATTTGTAAGTGCCCAGGTGATACACAATGTACAAGGAATTATGCTTTGTACTCGTGGCCATTAAGTTCCTTTGCACCTTGAATGCTGCCATTATCTGGTTTTAACACCAAGCTGCTTGGAAAATAGGTGGTGTGTAGACAAATGTATTACCTATACTAGTTGCCATAGATTGTCAGCTCATTTTGATTTATTTTTGCTCATATGGCAAATACTAGTTTCTTTGGATATTCTGTTTAATATCTTTCTTTTGTGGCATTTTCTTGCCATAACATGAAGCATAGCAGTTGACTGAGTGGACATTTGGGCAAGATGTAGCTAGAGCCTCAGTCTAGGGAAACTTTGAGAAAACTCTTTGAGAAAATAACAGGCTCATATTTTGGCTGTTCCATCAATCAGGCTTGTTCTGTTTCAAATGTAATGTTGAAATGTGCATGAAAATTCTGAATATCATTGCAGACCTTGTTTGATTGTAATGTTATTTCTTTGTAGCTGTGGAAAACTAGGATGGTTAGTGGTTTCTTAATATAATTGGTGAACCCACATAAGACACAGATGTCCAATGTCCATAGTTGCCCATATTGAAAGCTGCACAAATGGGGTGCTTTGGGATATGTTTGATAGTTAACTAACCAAGTAAATGTTTGATGGAAACCCATAGAGAAAGCAAAACAATTAAGGTTTTTAAAAATGTTGCCTCTTTCCATGTTGTGAGATCAGTTCTCAACTTCTTGTGTCAAAGATAATATTGGGCTCGTGAAGTTTTGACCAATATTGCATTTCAAATCAGTGGTCTTCCAGTAGGATGTCTCATTGTGGTGGCAGCTGTAATGATGTTCTGCATTTGTATTATCATGTTGCACATAACTTGGAATATGATAACCCAATTTTCACTAAATTGAGGTTGATGTCCTTACTATGATCAAAGGATGTGTTACTCGGTTTGATGATTGAATGAATACAGATGGTTGTGAAGATAACTTTTTCTGATTATCTTTCATGAATTGTTATTGTTATCAATGTTACACAGGTCATGCATATTTATGCCGATCCTGAGTAGACCTCCAAATAGAGTAACTTGTTTGTTATAAATAAAAATTTAACAAATAGAACAACAAGTGTGTTGCATTAGTCTCATCCTTGTCTTCACTAGTTCATTTCCAGGTTCCAAGCTGCTGTCACCAACATGAGAGCCAACTGAGCTGACCACGGCCATGGCTGCTGATGGGGAAGGTGACGACACGCGCACGGCGCGCGTGCTGGCCGCACTCTCGTTCGCCGTCACTGTGATCGCTGTGGGCGTCCCTGTCTGGCTCAAAACGACCGAGATCTACCGAGCCGGCATCCCCCATGAGGGCATCGACAGCTTGCAGCGGCTGACGCTAGATGTCAGCACCGGCGCGCAGCTGGAGGTGGTGGCGCTCGCGACGGCGGACGCGACGCGGTTGGCTGCCGGCCTGGAGCGCCACTTAGACGGCGTCAGCGTCAGCGGGCGGGCAGCCAGCGAGGCCGAGGCCGCCGCCCTGACGACCGCCGCCGACCCATGGGCCGCGGACGACGCGCTGAACAGCGGGACAGCGATCGACAGGCTGCGCGTGGTAGTGCTGCCGCCGCGGCCGGCCGCCGCTGCCGCTGCCACCGTGTTGCTCGGCCGGCACGCGGACGTGCTGGTGACGCCGACGGCTGAGGCGGCGCCTCTGGCCGCCGTGCTTCGCGCCGTCGCGTTCGGACCGAATTCCGAGGCTGTGTCGACGCGGCGCGTGCGCTCGGCGCCGGCCTACGACCTGCTCGTGTCGGTGGTAGTGCCGCAGCCGGAGGGACGCACACCGCTCTGGGACGGTGCCGCCGCCACGCGCCACCTCCTTGCGCCGGTGCTGGAGCGCCTGCGGCCGCTGGCCAACCTCACCGTCAAGTCGCAGCACCTTTACCACGCTGGGCTGGGCGTGGTGGCGGCGCGCGACGCCACGTCCGGCGAGCACTTTCTTTCTGAGGAGCAGCTGTCGCTGGTGATCACGCCGCTGGAGGCGCGCCTGGGCGCCGCCGTGTCGGGCCGGCCCACGCTTCAGTTCGTTGTGTTCGTGCCGCCGCCCGGGAAGCGGCCGCTGCGTCTGCGGCCGGCCGGCGCCGCCGACGCCTTCATCTCGCCGCGCTGGGGCGGCGTGCAGGTGTACAACCCGGCGCCGGGTGAGGCGGCGCTGGACGCGCGCCGCGTGGCCGCCGTGCTGGTGACGCAGCTGCGCCTGTTGCTGGGCGTGCCGGAGCCGCCGGCGGCGGCGGCGGCGCGGCCGGCAGGCCCAGCCGGACTGCGCAGCTGGGAGCTGGTCTCGCTCCGCCGGCGCCGCACCGTCGAGAACGTGGAGAACGCGCGCCGCAACCTCGCCTCGCTGGCCGCCATGCTCGACCAGATCTCCAACATCGTCATCGATGATGCGGTGGGCGCGGCGGTAGCCGAGGGCGTGGCGGCGGCCGAGGAGGCGGCGCGGCAGCTGGCCGCCGGTCGCGAGGCCGAGGCGTACGTCAGCTCGTGCCGCGCGCTCGCTCGCTCCGAGCGCGCCATCTTCGACCCGAGCATGCTGGCGCTGCTCTACTTCCCGGACGACCAGAAGTACGCCATCTACATTCCCCTGTTCCTGCCCGTCAGCATCCCCGTTCTGATGTCGCTGCGCACCATTTGGGCCTGGGCTCGCGGCGCCCCTGAGAAGGTGAAGGGCGAGTGAGGCGCCCCCCCCCCCCCGCCTTGCGTGGGCGCCAGGGGAGCTGTGGGGCCCCTACACATGACCGGGGCCGGCCAAGATGCTGGGAACACTGGGTCATGATGCGCCGCTGTAATGTGCGCGGAGCTTGAGATGTGGCGGAACGGTCGCAGTGGTCCTCTATGTGTGCTTGTGGTCTTCTTGGGTGCTTGGCGCACAGTTTATAATAAGAAATGTGATTTAACTTGTATCATTGCTGGCCGCATCGGTTACAACCTGTCGAGTGGCACGGATGGGCGGTTGATGTATGCATTTCACGCCCCTAACGTATATCGTCAGGTCGGTATACATCGGGGACAGACATGTTTTAATGCGCGTCCGGCCAGCCAGTCAACTTTAGGATCACGCGCATGCAAAATAATACAGATGTCACTGCCTGTGTGCTTCGTTCCGTTTGAACACGACTCGTTGGGAAGCTAAACGCTGGGAAATAACTGTTCGTACCAATCATGAATTGCAATCAGGCGCCGCGCGTCGATGTCGGGGTTCCAGCTGTTTGTGATTTAAGACGTGTTGTGGTGCGCGCAACGACGCAGAGACGAGGACGTGAGCGTCCCCGTCGATGACCGGCCGCGGCCTACTTCGCTGCGGTGGGGTGCGGGGCGGGGTGACGCCCGGTCCATGGGGAGGGGGAGGGGGCGTGCCACCCCCGCCGGCTCCTGTCGTGCGGCACCGCGTCTGCATTATTGAATAATGACCCGCTGAAGCGCGCGGACGTCTTCTACAATACATGCATCGGGGTCGTGCAGCTGAGGTTCGCGTGTAAACAATCACGGTAGGAGGAGCTTATCATCGGGAGGGGGGGGGGGGATACCGGAGAAGTCGGTCCGATTCTGATAGTCGTGTGATTCGACGGAGCAAATTAGGTCTGGGTCGTCACACTGAACACGACTGGGGGCGACCTTGCACCAGGCAGTCGAATATCGTGGTCGTGTACAACTTACTACACATGGGTTTCTAAACATTGCTTGATTTCTATCTTGATTAATCAGCCCTTTGCGTTTTCACGCTGCGTATCTGGGCTTTGTCTGGGCTGCCTGCATCGAGCGGTCGGCAAGTCATCCACTAAGTTTGTACGCACGACGTGGGTAACGTTTGGGCGCTGCCGGGGCCTTTTCCGTTCCAGCTGACAAATGGTCGCTTCCGACTCTCGTTATGAGTCGAAGAACTTGGAACGCGAACTGGATTCGGTGTAAAGCGCCGCCGGGGCTGGTGACGGCGGTGGCGCCCGCCGCGGCTCGTGACGGCGGTAGCGCCCACCGGGGCTGGTGACGGCGGTGGCGCCCGCCAGGGCTGGTGACGGCGCCAGTGCCCGCCGCGGCTGGTGACGGCGGCAGTGCCCGCCGGGGCTGGTGGCGGCGATAGTGCCCGCCGCGGCTGGTGACGGCGGTAGTGCCCACCGGGGTTGGTGGCGGCGGTGGTGCCCACCGGGGCTGGTGACGGCGGCAGTGCCCACCGCGGCTGGTGACGGCGGCAGTGCCCGCCGGGGCTGGTGGCGGCGATAGTGCCCGCCGGGGCTGGTGACGGCGGTAGCGCCCACCGCGGCTGGTGACGGCGGTAGCGCCCACCGCGGCTGGTGACGGCGGTAGTGCCCACCGGGGTTGGTGGCGGCGGTGGTGCCCACCGGGGCTGGTGACGGTGGTGGTGCCCGCCGGGGCTGGTGACGGCGGTGGTGCCCACCGGGGCTGGTGACGGCGGTGGCGCCCGCCGCGGCTGGTGGCGGTGGTGGTGTCCGCGGGGGCTGGTGACGGCGGCAGCGCCCGCCGGGGCTGGTGACGGCGGTAGTGCCCGCCGGGGTTGGCGACGACGGCTGCTGGACGTCCGCTTTGAGCATACGTGGATGAGTGTTGTATCATAAAATCGCACCAGGTTATAATGATGACAGCTAAGTGGCTACCGAGGCGTAGAAATGGCTGTAAATTCTGCGTTTGTCAGAAATGAGAACAACTGTCTCATGCCAAGCATGCAAGAGGCGTCGCCAATAAGGTCCGAAAAGGTAAGACCCGCGGCATCTCGTCTGAAATCAAATGACCGCTCTTCGCTGAATTGTTGGCAGAACTGAATGACGTGGAGAAGTGGTGCATTGTAACGAGGTCATTTGGGCCGTTCACCGCACCGAAGGTAGCTATGTGTCGCGTGCAAGTGCCTAATTCGCAACCCGCGGGCAATAACTTCTTTGCGTCTCATCCTGTGTGAGCTTGACGGCCATGGACCCAGTTGAAGCTTGATCACCTTTAACTTATTGTTTATTGTGATGTCCCAGCAGCGTTGCCACCTCCCCTTCATAATGGCCGCGATAGCAGGGCAAAAGTTCCTTGCTGGCAAGGGTAAGGAGCGGCTTCAAGGTGTGCGCGCTGTCCGTTTTATGGCCGTGTCAGCACGGTCGTTGTCCGCGATACCAACATTGCTAGGCATCAAACATAGATCAACAGCTTAACCTGCAAGATCTAGCCCTGTCAGGCCAACCAAAGTATTATGTATAATGGGCAAGATGAGTTTAAATCCTCTCAGGACCAACGGACTGTTCAAAGAATCGGATACGATTACGTGTGGCTTGTTCTCACCAACTTCGATGAAGTGTAAGGCTTTATTAATTGTTGCCAGCTCGGCCGTGTACACTGAGGTGTGCTTCGTTAAGTAAAGTTACCGGGTAGCTTGCGTATTTATAAATGCAGCACCAACGCCCACCTCCACTTTAGAACCGTCAGTATATGCTTAAAATTCTATACACGACGCAATGTGCTCCAGAGCCTTCGATCATAATTGGCCTGTTTGCTGTTACATGAAAGGGAGGCATCCATGTGGGGGAAATTACCTCCCATTGAGGCACCACTACGAGACGCAACCCGAACACACCACGCAACCTAACGCCCTCTCGGAATAGCCCATTCATCGGAGCGCCAAATGAAATTGCGTATGGCCCTCGGTCGCTTTGAAACATGCTTTCAACATGAAGTGAAAAAATGCCCAGATAGTTGGGTGGTTCGGAAATGGGGCCAGCTTGCAAAAGCATCGTATGCTGAGCATTGCCCTTCTCAGTGCCAACGCCGGTTCAGTTGCTTCGACCGCAAAGCTAGCAACCGGTGACGTTTTGATAACTCCCATCACAATGCATGATGCGGTGTGGGGCACGGCGTCTAACGGAAGTTTGCAAGAACCCGGCGAGCGGTCATGGATAAAACATATATATATATATATATATATATATATATATATATATATATATATATCAAGTTTTCAACGTATGAGTGAGTAGTGTGGAAGTAGCAATGTTCTCCTGTCCGCTCAACAAGATGGTCGAGACACATACTTCAATGTGTTCCATGTTTTAACACGCGCTCGGGTGGGGGTCAAATTGACACCCCCGAAGGCTTTTTCCGGAATGGCTTCCGAACGGCGCGGCGAACCCGGGCCAAATCTTGCATAGCTGTAGACAATTGAATAGAGGATCGTCTAGCATCAAAAACTGAGATGTACCTTAGAAGGTCGCTGATCTGTGGCAGGTCAAAGTCGGTATGGTTTCGGCGAAGGCAATTTCTAGGGAATCGTTCAATCTGATCTAACAACGGAGTGTTAGACGAAGCCATACATCTTTAAGGTACTTTCTTAGGTAACACAACAATTGAATGAACAAATTACGTTGACCTAGGGTCAGGTATGAAGGTCAGACCAAAGTCAAAACCAATCCGTTCTACTCATTTCGAATTTATTGATAACAGGAACGGCATTATGCACCGTCCATGGACTTCATAAAGATCAGAATAGGTACCTGACCTAACATGACCGAGGTCAACATTTCTTTTTAGGAAAATACCGCTCAGCGTAATATTTGTCGCTTGGTCAAGTGCAAAACTCAAAGCAGTCTTGCATGATTGTTGTCACTATGACCTTTTAAAGATCAAGCAAGGTTATTGACCTTAACTGAGCACGCGACCTTTTGCTTAGAACAGTTATCTAGGTTCTAGGGGCCCTTTGGGGACGAACCTGGAATTTGGCCTTGTTTGACCTTATTTGACCCAAAGCCATGACCTAGGAACCTCGAAATTTTACCTAAGTGAGTTCACGTACAGGTCAGCACACACAGTGACCCCCCCCCCCGCCCCCTCCCAGCCGAGCGAAGGGTATCCAGCCGGCCATCTGGGCGCGTGTTCCCGTAAGGTATTCAGATGTTATCTATTCGTGAAACGATTATCGAACTGCAGACCCAAGACGCGGGCACTGGGCTGGTTCGGAATGGTCCGGACGTGTAGCCTTAAAGTCATGGTGGGGCGTTGATGACAGCGTCTGCACAAGTGCGTGGCCACTGTTTTTAAAGTCGAGAAACGGAATCCGTTTAGACCATTCCATCTTTCCAGGCTTATCACGGTCAACTACAAGTGGCGCTCAAGAGAAGCAAAGTTTGACGAGGAGAACCAGATGAGAGAGAGAGAGAGAGAGAGAGAGAGAGAGAGAGAGAGAGAGAGAGAGAGAGAGAGAGAGGCCAATCAACTTGGAAGGAGGTCACCAATATCGCTTATCGTCACAGCGAGCAAAGCTGCGCTCAGAACCTTGCCCTGAGGCACGCAGTTCTCTTGTTGGTACCTATCCGAAGAGTGTGAGCCAGCACGAAATCTGAAAAAGCATCAGCCACCGAGCTCGCTAAGAACGTGTCCATGGCTCCACGAGCGCCGTCATGAAAGAGCTTTTTTAGGATGCCGTAACGCCACGTGGTATCATAGGTTTTTTCAACATCAATGAGCACAGCACCAACATGTCGTTTTCCCCTAAAACTAGTGCGGATGTTGATGAAGAGAGTCATAAGATGATCAATCTTGCTGCGATTTTTCCTGAGTCCACACTGGGCAGCCGTAATAACGTTGCACCGCCCTAAAATCTGCGATAAATGTACATTTACCATGATTTCCATCATTTTACAAATGCATAATGTCAGTGGAATAAGGTGATAGTCGGCAGAGTCACCCCCATTCTTACCGCGCTTGCGCAAAGGAATAATGTACGACTCACGCCAAGGCTCCGGAAAGCCTCCAGACACCCAAAGTCTGTTGTGAGCTGCTAAAAGGGCATCAGCACCTGAAATGGAGAGCTGCTTAGATATGGCGCCTAGGATTAGATCCGGGCCCGCTGCCACGTTACACAGCGATCTGATGGCGGAAATTAGCTTGGGCATCGCAAACAGTCGGTTGCACGACATGTACTCCCTCGTGCTGAGGCTGATCGAGGATGCCCCACGCGAACCCGATGGCTTGTAAACCAAGGGATGGCACTGCCTTTACTGCAACGTTTGGAGAAAGCGCGGGTGATTTCATTCCCTACGTTGGCCGGGTGTATGCATGCCCGTTGACATTGAGCACAGGATGTGCTACAGATGAGTGCTGTCTGGCAATGCGTTTGATCCGCGTCCATACAATGAATGCAGGCGTGTGGCAATCAAGTCGGCAGACGATGTAAGCTCGCCGCGATGCTCGCTTAGCGTCTAGAATGGTGCGTCTAGCGGTCGCTCGTGCTCGTCGAGATGCAAATAGATTCTCGGTCGTGCTCCGACGGTTAAACTTCCTAAGGACCCTCTTACGCGCACAGATGGTGACCCGACAATGGTGTGTCCACCATGGAACAAGAAGTCGGCGAGGGCTATCTGACGCTAGCGGTAAACACCCTTCCGCAGACCGCAAATTAACGAAGTCAAATCTCCTCCTGACAGGGGTACACTCACTGGTTGTTTGGTAAGGAAGTGCTAGATCCTCGCTCGAAACT